TATATGTTATGTTCTGAATTTTTGTTTTCAGTTTCTGAACCATGTTTCTGTTTTTGAATTTATGATATGTTATGAATTTTTATTTTCAATTTTTGAATCACATTGCGGCATTTTGGTGAACGGATGCATGAAGTTGGCATTCTGGAACAGGCTGTTCTGAATCCAGAACGGCCCGTTCTAACACCAGAACAACCCGTTCTAGTTTCAGAATGGTCCGTTCTGATGCACTCATGATGTGTTAAATTTGCATTTGGAACGACCCCGTTCCAGTTGCAAAATTAACACATAACATGTGCAAGCAGAACGACCCGTTCTAATTTCAGAACGGGCCGTTCTAGTTCCAGGTGTATTCATGAAATTTGGCGTCCACCTATGCATCTACGTGACATCTACCTGACCAACAGTTAACTTCATTTAAATCATTTGGACGGAAGTTCCAAATTGTAATAATTTAAATTATTGAAGACCAAATTGAAACAAAAAATTAAAGTAGAATTAAATTGAAACAAAAGAAATATTATAAAGAATTAAATAAGGGTTTTAACCTATTTTTTTTTTTAGTAAATAACCCATGCACTTACATTGCACAGCCTTTTTATTTATTTATTTATAGCACCATCTAATAATAAATTGTGATATATTAACGGTGTGTGTTTGAATTCATAATAATTTATCTAGAATTACGTTGAAATATTCTTTAACATTGACTTTAACTATATATCGATATATTTAGAATTACATTTCAAATACTTTTTAACATGACTTTAACTACATATTTAGTTTCATATTTAGAAGTTGATTCTAAGTCCAAAATTAATTTTAAATTTATTAATTGGTGGGAAAAAATTCTTTCTTTTTTTATTCACAACAATGATGAGTATATTAAAATAATATTATATATAGATAAAAAGTGATCACAATTTATTTAAAGTGGTTTGACTCTTCATACTTACGTCTATAATGATGTTCATTATATATTTCACAATGTATTACATATATTCCTAAAAATGCTCCCGTCAAGTTTTGCGAGATAAACTTAAAAACCCTTCTTCATAAGTTTTATGGGTGAAAATTGCAAACACCTTCCTTACAAGTTTTATGGGTGATAATTATAAATTTCTCCATCACAAGTTTAATGAGTGATACTTACAAACTCCTTACTTACAAGTTTTATGAGTGAAATTTGAAAATCTCCTTACAAGTTTTCTGTCAAAATTTGAAAATCCTCTTTTATATGATATCTCTTTTCATTTAAGGTGGTGACCTTTCTACAGGTCAGATAATTCTTCTTATTTCAAGAGCCTTTTTTTTATTGACCTTATATTCTAATCTTAAAAGAGAAAATAAATCTTTAAAATAATTACAACATTTTTAATTCTAAACAATATCTTAAAGATAAATAATATATTTCTATCTCTCAACAATATCTTAGAGATTTGAAATTAAAAATTTGAATTGTTTCTCCAACATAAATAATTGAAAGTAACTTCTACATAGAGAGAGAAGGACTCACTGTCTTATTAAACTTATTCTTAGAGTAAGTTTTATTAGACTCAGGGGGGTGTATTGATTTAGGATTTCGTAGGATTTTAAAAGACTTTTTTTTAGTAAAAAAATTCATTGGTATTCAATCAGGATTTTATGTCACTTAAAAACAATTCACTGGTATTCAATATGGATTTTCAAGATTTTTTAAAGAGTCTATTAAAATCCATTGGTATTCATTTGAGATTTTCTACAGCTTAAAAACAATCCTTTGGTATTCAAAAAATATAAGGATTTTAAAGGATTGTTATGTGAGAGAGATTTTGAAGGACTTTCTAGTGTTATCTATAAATACCAAATTCATAAAACAATCCCATCCAAACCCACCGGATTTTGCAGGATTGTTTGAAGTGATTTTTCGAGAATTTTCAAGTGAGTTTTTCATTTTTTTTCCTATGTTCCCGTCTTCTCCATTTTTTCTCTACTAATAATACTGCACTATTATTCATTGCTCATATATAATATTGTAGTACTGTTCTCATTTCATTCCCCTATTTTGTGAAACTCCGATATGTAAATGATAGTGTCATTGATTTGTTCTATTTTTCTGTTCGTTCTCTTTAATTGACTTGCTTTATTTTATTCTATGTAGTTGAATTTGTTCCTTTATATAACACAAAAAAAATGCTTGAAATTTCAACTTTTAAGTGGTATTTTTTTTATAACACACGTCAAGAAAATAAAAAGGTGAAAGATGAAATTGATATCATAATCTCTACAATATATATATATATATA